GTTTTGACATTGAATCAATAACGGAAAAAAAAATAGAGCACAAAAAAGTTCGAGTATCGTGATTTGCAACTTGTTGCGTTCATAACCGACACATTTTCATTGCACTTCAGATTTTTTTTCTTGCATTCACGTCAAAAGAATTTAAAAAGAAAAAAATCGTACAAAATGTAATAACGTTTTCTATAAAGCTACAAAAAAGCGAATATTCAATATTTATTATACAATATTCCATAAGTTTCTATATTTTTTTTCTGAATTGAAATACATTTAATAATTTAAATGTAATAATTTAAAGAGATCATTTTATATTGAGATTAGTTAGATTCTATTGAATTTAAGTGAATCTAAACAATTATTTGTACAGCAATTCCTCTAGTCTAGTTTCGATCAGTGCTAAAATTCCATGTAGTATGGATTAAAATTTTATAACAGTAAATTACGTATAATAATAATAATAAAGTTTACTAATTTTTCTCGGAAATTATAATAGATTGAAAGGATCTAAAAGATGAATATGATAGCTGGATGTTTGGGGAATGTAATGAGATATATGTGTTACATCCATTTGGATATAATTCGCGTTCAAAGTTGAAAAACTGTAAAAAAATAACGCTCGAAAGAGCAATGTTTCACATTTCAGTAATTTTCTCGAAAACTGGAATAGATTGAATGTATACAAAAGATGGGTAATGCAGCGAGTATTCATACATTGCGGTGGTTTCATCCATTTGGCTCTAATGTAAAGTTAAAAAAAATGAAAAATTAACACTATATTAGATTGATTACTATAGACAATTATTTTTTTACACACAAATGATAGAGTATTTCTCTATACAGTCAACTCTCTTTTTGTTATCTTTATTTTTATGCAATTACTTTAAAATTATATTAGTCCTGATTCAAACAATGCGGTATATTGGCGGAAACGTACTAACCGTAATTTGTTATATAATAGAAATTAATTTTATGGATAAATACAGATAGATTTGCAGTTAACTTATAACATTGCAGATTGAGAATATAAAGCATTTCCAATAAATGACACATGAAAATACATAAATTCTAAAATGGATTATTTTTTTTACATTAAAAACACGATTTCTTGTGACTTTTGTGATAATTTAAAAAATCTATATATTAATAATTAAAATGAGCGTATTTTGTAAGTAATCATTAGTAGTAAGTAGTGTTTACATATGTGGGGTTTCCCAAATTAGTAAATAAATTGAATCGTTTCGTGTAATTGATCTGGGAAATTACATTATTTTTTCAAAGTACTTTTTGAATCGTATTAGATAAGAGCGAATGTAATTTTGAAGCACACAGCATTTCGTATGTTTATCCAAACTTACAGCTACATAATCATTTTTCGCTCAGAGCTGCCTTTGATAAGAAAGGCTTTTACCATGGAAATGGGACGATTACTGCAGCCTTGCAAAAGGTGAAGGCAGCATCAGAAAAAAAGAGGAGAAGGTGTAGAAAACGATCCGGAATTTGTGTAATCTTCGCCGCAAACACAGAACCGGTTTTTCCAACGACCCTTTGTACCACCACCAACGATAAGTTTTGTCCCATTTTCGCTGATCCCCATTTCCTCTTTTTCATTCTCTCACTGCTTTTTCTTCCATTTTATTTCCCATTTTCGCATTTTGGGTCAAATATTTCATGAACTATGCTTACAGTTTAACAGACATTTATTTATCAATATAAGTATCATACTGGGATGAGACTATTAAAGCAAAAAAAGCGCATTCCCAGAATCGGTTTACTTCGGATTTTGCAGCGTTTCATTTCATACGATTTCGATTCAATTTACTTTATTCCACTCAATATTGGGTTTTGTCAAGTTTATTGGGTTGCAGTAAGTGGAGGGCCCAATTAAATCACTGGCAATAACTCACTAATCGCCTAAGAAGTTAAGGCTAACTAAATGCGCTCCGCTTTCGTACGAAATAACGACCGCAAATGTTAGTCTCTCTTTGCATTATTACAAAGTTTCCTTTCGCAAATACATCACGTTCACTTTGTTTCATTTTGTAACACAGTAAAGCCAATTCCATTATTATTACTCTAGTTATAAATTGTGTACAAAATACTCTCAGTGTTTTATATAATTTGTGAAACTTCATTTGCACAACAAACTTTTAAGCATTTAAATTAATAATTCAATGCATGTTACCAAATAATATTTCTATAGATTAAGATAACTTAATATTGTTAATTAGTTATACTACTTGTTTCAAATAGTCGTAGTTGTAAATTGTAATAATATTTAATTACTTTGAAACTTAAATTTGCTGAAATGAAAACTGTAAAACGTAAACTTGCATTTGATCATTATTTTATTTTATTTATGTCTTCATTATTGGCATAAAATTCAATAATATCAGATTTAATTATGAAAAAATGGTTTAAAAAATGTATCGATTGCTGTGTTAAAATTATGTAAGGGGTGCCAACCGAATGGGGTAAAACAATGAGCGAGATAATGGATTCTGATAAAGCGGGCGCCATTGAACAAATCTAAATTGCATTTTCGAATGTACACAGAAAGGGGAACCGGTTAATTTACAAACAAACCCGACTTAATCCGGTCCTGAAGCAAAGACCGTGCGAGTTGTTGCTAAATCCCCGGGTGGAAATCCCCCGATTTTTCCTAGGCTATGTATCCGTGTTTGCTTGTGGATCTGCGGCATTTCACTGTTTGAGTTGTCAAGATGAAGTTTCTCTCAGCAAGAGTAAACACACAGCCAACTATAGTTGCCAACTAAGATTTATATATAGTTGTATAGAATCTATATTTGTGCTATAGAAATTTCATATAAATTCAATAAAAATATGTCTTCTTACTAAATGATTTATTAAGTAAATATTAAACATTTGGCAGAAAGACTGTTGTATGTACATACAAGCATATAATTTATATGTTTATTATTATACCTCACATAGTCCGGCTTTGATCAGTTGGGGTTAACTATAGTCCGGTTTGAAAATGTCAAAGCAAATTAAATTTCTATGTTCGTTATTTTTTGAATATTTGTAATTTACGGTATATTTTGTATATTTGAAATTTAGGGTATTTTTTTAAATATTACAAATTTACGGGTCTAACAAAACTTCGCTAAGTTGGCATTAATTCATTTGTTTGTGAAAAAACAAAATTTGTTTCTCAATTTTTTAAAGTCTAACGATGTTTCATGCCAAATTTCAAGAAGATCGGTAAGAATGGATAGGAGAAAATGCAAGATTAGTGATGTAAGGTTGGTAGAAATTACACACCTAAAAAATTTGTTTTGCCATTCTCTACGGATTTCGACGTCAACTCAAGCCTATGCAAATTTTCCAGGAATGCCAAAATGCAAATAGTTCAAAGACATTTTTCTGTGGAGGACGAACCTCTAGAAGGTTGCCCGAAATCTTCGACCGTTGATACAAATGCGGCACTGTTGAAGGCAAACATTGACGAAGATCCAAGAATGATTCAGGAATGATTCAAGAAATCCGCTCGATGGGTTACAAGATTTCGTTCGTTTTGCCGAATATTTCTTGGAAATTTTTGAAAATAAAGATTCTAGCACTTTTAGTAAAATCGTAACAGGTGATGAATCTTGATTCTATAAGTTTGACCTGGAAACCAAGCAGCAGTCCATGGTATGGAGAGCAGAAAGTGTAAATCCATCCAGTTAAAGCAAGACAACAAAAATCAGCATCAAAAGTGTTGATGTCGATTTACTTTACCAGGGTAAAAGTGGTAACTGCTATCTCACTCGAAACTGGTCAGAGGGTAACTTGGAAGTAGTACACAGAAACTTGCTTAACACAAGTTTTCAAAACTTTGTTTTTTTTTCAGCCAACTTAGCGAACTTTTAATAGACTCGTATTTTCATTATTTGAAATTTACTGTGTTTTTGAATATTTGAAATTTTTTAAGTATTTAAAATTTACCATATTTTGAATATTTCAACTATTGTATTTTTTATGAATATTTCAAATGTATGGTATATTTTCAATATTTGAACTTTTGCATATATTTAAGAATATATGAAATTTATGTATGTTTTGCATTTTTCCATATTCCGTATCTTTTGAATATTCAAAATTTATGGTATATATTGAAATTTTAATTGTTAAATCTTATATTTTGTAAAATATTTTCCTAATCGACATAACTAGTATGTAGATTTGGTTTATTTGATAATATGAAACCTTGTAATTTCAAATTATATAACGAAATCTACATCATTTCATAGAAGTAGAGACACTCTGATTTCGATTAAAATAATACTATAATCGTCTTAAAGGTCTGAGCTTGGGGGCTTTCAAACGCTAACGAAATATTAATTGCTGTTAATTACTGGCGCCTGTGCTTTACTAACTGAATAATTTAATAATTCTCCAATGCTCGAGGTGGTTCATCGAATGAACATCGACGACTATTCCAATTAATTTATATTAATTATTTTTCGAATTATTAATTTAACTTCTTTTATCAACAAAAAATAGATAAAGTTTTATAAACATTAATACTAAGAACATAAGAAAAATAAAACTAAATCAAATTGTTGCAAATATAGATATTTCTTGATGATATTTGCATTATTTTCCAAAGAAACATCTAAATTTGTAAATTAAAAAAAAAAGGTTTAAATACAATTGTAGTCTGGTGAATTTTATAAATTAAAGAATACAATTTTCACGATGTTATCTTTTCGGTTATTATGATTAATATTTCCTGACGAAACAAATATAAATATAGATTAGTCATTTACTGCTTGCGGTTTTGCCCGAATCGTTTTCAGGGCTCCAAACAATAATTTGTCGTTATTTGAATTAGTGAAGTTCGCAAATCGTGGTTAAACAGAATAAACGAAACTATGAAAATCCTTTGGATACAAATATTGTTTTGTTGGTTTTTCGAAATCAATTGCAAGAATAAAACATGCGAATTAAAAGGTTACGATGTGAATTGTACTGGTGGACAGTTTGGTGATTGTGTCAACATGAAGAGCATACATTTCGGATTCAATAATACCGACGTTGGTGAATTGAAGAAGTTCAATATAGTGAAAAACATGTTTTTGAATAATAGTAATTTAAAATCCATACCTAAATTATGTCTTAAGAATTCCATTGTCAAATATTTGTTCTTGTTTAATAACAGTATTTCGGAGGTGCGCAAAGAAAGCTTCCAGGGAATATTAAAACTTGAAGTGTTATCTTTGGCTTACAACAAAATAAAGTTTTTGGGAGGGAAATCTATTCCCGACGCGAAGATCGTTCATCTCAACAATAATTTGATTAAAGTTATTAACCAGAAAATGTTCGTTAATATATTGCGTTTGAAGCAGTTGTCGTTGCATTGCAATAATCTTCGGATACTTCAAGCTACGATGGAAAAATATGTTGGAACAAAAATTGTGTTGGATTACAATAAGATCGACTATTTGGAAAGCATGTCGATACCGGCCTCAAGCGAAGTGTACTTGAAGAATAACGCTCTGACGTCCATTCACGCGAAACACTTTGTTAATATCACAGTGATAGAAGTGCTGGAGTTATCATGGAATAATATTATCTACGTTTCGAACAACAGTTTTCTGGGTTCTCAGTTGAAAACTCTGAGGTTGGATTACAACAAGATCTTAACGATCGGTGAGCTGACTTTCGCTGGAATAAAAATGTTGCATTTATTGTCATTGTCGAATAACAGTATTATTCATTTAACAACCGGATCTATACCTAAGGCGACACAAGTGAATCTTGCGTATAATTTGATAGAGACCGTAAATGCTGGAGTATTCAAGGACGTTTCTTTTCTAAAATCACTAGACTTAAGATATAATTGTATCACGGATCTAACGATTCCGGAAAGTGTCAACACTTCAAACTCAAATATTATGAACAAACGATGCAAACTCGTTGAAGTTAATAATACCTCAGTTTACGTATTTTGGATTATGCTCTTTGTGGTGGCGGTTCCGACTGCTCTGATAATTTCGAAACGACGATATCTAAGTAATTCAAACCAACATATATTTATGGATAAAAAATAAAGTGAAATTTTCGTTCTGTTTTAGATCAATTTTGTTATATGCAGCAACAATCACAGGTAATTATTAATTTATTTTCTTACTTTAAATTAAAATTCGAAAAAAATAGTACACAAAATGATTGTATTTTTATACATAAATGATAAACCTTTAGTATAGTGAAATATCTTTTGTGCTGTTCATTTTTTGTATGTATTTAGTTCCTTAATTAGTCCGGTTTTAACCTATTTATAACAAGAATTCTCATTATATTTTGTGATTATATTTAAAGAAAGGAATTTTTGTTTTGTAGTATAAAATCAAAATATTATTTTGTATACAAAAAATGAACTTAAATCAATTATATATTTTCCATTTTGTCTGATGACTCTATTTATAACTTCTGGTCATTATAATTAGAGAAAGTCTTACCATTGCAGGCGATTTGCAAAATGATCCAAGCTCCAATAATATTCAACGATTTACCAACATTGTACGAGGATTTGCATTGTCTTAGTGGAGCACAATTTAGAAATGAATTAGTTGTTAACATCGTTGACATTAGTTGTAAACATCGAAATTGACTGTTTGGTTCCTTGGATGCAGCTAAAAATACATTACATTACCTTTGTAACCCCAAGAATTTGACAGCATAATCTTATTTTGATGCAATTCAGCTTTCAATGTGGTTTGTGCTGGTTCATAATGCTTGTATCATGATCGTTTTCTATTGATGTTATTGTAGATGATCCGTTTTTCATTACCAGTGATCATTCGTTTAAAAAAAGTGATGATTTAATTGCGTTTTATGATGGATATTTGCAAATATTGCTTCGTTATGTTAAGTGAACTTTTTCAATTCATGCGAACCTTTAATATCTCTGCAATCTTTTGCATAGTTAGATGACAACTCGATTAAATTATGACTTTCATTTGGTCATTATAATCTTCTGTAGAATGACCAGAACTTTGATCATATTTGAGTGGAAAATTTTCAGAACAGATTTTCTCAAACCAATTCTGATACGTGCATTCTGTTAAACAATCAACACTATAAGCTTCACATATCCTTTTATGAGGCTCACTCAGCATCTTTCTTGCCTTTACAGAAATAAAAAAGAAAAATAAAAGTAACGTCGTCATAAATCGAATCGGCGTACTACAGGGGGTATAGTTTTATATAAGTGTAAAATCAGCAATTATTAAGCGTTATTTGATTTTTGAATCGACTCAAAACGATGTTTACCTGTATGTCGAAAATGTTCGTTTTTGCACTCCTAAACTAACAGATGCAAATAAAATGTACACGTCATTTGCTTCTATAGTAATCTAAAAATATAATAATATTTGTGAATACCGAAATTATTTTCTTGCCGACCTAATTTTTAATATATATGTCATCTATGTTTATCCTACAAAGTATAATTTTATATTTAATTAACAGAAAAATAGAACATTATAACGCAATAAAAATAAGCTGTAGATTGCGGAAAACGTATTATCGCAAATGTTGATAAGCAGCATAATATCCTTTCGATATTAGTTAGTGTTGAGTAACGAAAATGCAACAACGTATTTGTGATGTATTTAAATTATTACGAAGAAAATGCTGGTGAAGAAAATAGTTTTAATTGCGTTTTTCTGCATCAATGTAATCAGGTGCAAGAGATCCTGCAAAGTGCGTAATAATTGTACAGCATCCTGCGAAGGAGGCAACTACACGGAATTAAGTAACATGTATATCTGCATAAACTTGAAAACGGTTCAATTGGGATTCAACAATCTGGACGCGAAAGCGCTTCAAAACATATCGCGATACAAAATTGACGAACTGTTTTTGAATAACAACGGACTTGCGAGCGTAGAGCAAATTTTCCAACGTTCGAACATTCGTAAGCTCTATTTAGAAGATAACAATATTTCCGCGCTGGAAACGGATTCTTTTAAGGATAATCATCCTTTGGAGGTATTGTCGTTGCACCATAACAGGATTCATGTGATGCACGAAAATTCGATTCCAAAAGCGAAAGAAATTCATCTGAACAACAATTTGATTCAGGCGGTGAATGCGAACATGTTTGTCGATATATCATACACGAGTGTACTCATATTTGATTATAACGTTATAAAAATGATTGAAACTGTGTCCTTTAGAGGGTTGAAGGCGAAGCAATTGCATTTAAGATATAATCGTATAGATTATTTAGAAGCGAACTCGATTCCTGCAGTAGAAGAAGTGTATCTGACTGGAAATAGATTAATTTCAATTAACGCTTTTGTCTTCGTCAACATCTCATCCGTTTCGATCTTACACATAGATTTCAATAATTTATCAAACATTGTGGACAACACTTTCCTCGAGTCTCGTATGAGAGAACTGAATTTGGACTCGAATAAAATTAACAGGATTAATGCGAATACATTCGCAGGAATGAAGGGTTTAGTGAATCTAACTTTATCCAATAATTTTATTGAATATCTGGAAATCAGTTCTTTACCGAACGTGAGAAATCTGCAGTTACAATTCAATTTTATTAGAAGCATTGATACAAGCAAGTTCCAAGATTTTCATCAATTACTCAGTCTTAATGTAAGCTACAACTGTATTCCAGAATCAAATACTGATAAGTGGAAGAATGAGATTAGAATTTCTAATGTGAAATCTGAAGAGATGTGCAGAAATATACACGAAATCGTCATTTGGGTGGTCATTTTAGTGTTGTTAATTATCGTCGTAATCGTTGCATCAACAATTTTGTATAGGCGATATTCAAGTGAGTGGACAAAAGAAATGTTTAAGGAAAATCTTATATAGGATGATTATTTCAGAATTGACAGCATCAACTATATATGGCATCAATTCAATGCAGGTAAAAATCTTTTGATTTTCTTAATTTATTGATTGATTTCTCTTTGTAAGATTAATTATTTGAACTAAAGGAGAATTTTGAATGTAAAATCAATTTGTAAATATTTTGAAAGTTTTGCAAAGACATTCAGAGATTATTAGTTTTGAATTATATTAATTCTTACGTATTATTATAAAATACAAGAAATCTATCAGAATACGATGATTTAAGACTATTAAATTTACAAAACATAGAAATCAACAAAAACATAGAAATTTGTATTCAAAAATTGCACGAACTTTCTTGGTTATCTGATACAAAATTGAAAGGTCGATTGAAAACATTTTTTTTTTATTCAACTAGAAAAAAGCTTCAGAATTCTTACTGTAAACACTTGCATTACATAAAAGAAATATGTGCCAATAATCGTGCAAAGATTGAACCTCCAAAAGATAAATATTTACAATTTTTCAACTAATCCAATTAGTAAATAAGCCAGGTTACATTTTTTTCTCTCGAAAAAAAGAAACTAATTGGAGAAGTATCCATATTTTAGAAACTAAATACAGATGTATTAATGTTATATTTGAGAAAATTTAAAAAATTGAGTTATCTCTTATTAAATAAAAAAATTATGTTCAATTTAGTAGTAATTTTCTTGCAAATAAATAACAATTAAAAATTATTATTATAAATTAAAATAAATTAGTAACAATGTTTAGTAAAATAAAAAAGAAATGTTATCTTCTTTTCCTGCGTAATATTGTTATATATTGCGTAAATAGAAAAATAAAATGCGGTTATGAATGTTGATAACAATTGTAATTTCATTTCGTTGTTATCGAGCAACAGTTGAGAATAGTCTGTTGATCATATGACAACGTATTCGAAGTGCAGCATTTAAAATGTTAACAAGTGTCTTAATATTTCTGGCAATTGCTTGGATCGACGTAATCAGTTCTGATAATAGTAGTGTATGTGAAGTGGATAAAAAATGTTTCGCGGATTGTGAGAATCACATATACACATACATTAGAAATAATCATAATTGTAACTCCTCGATTTCTATCCTGAAATTGGGATCAAGTAATATAATGTTGAACGATTTGATTCAGTTCGAGTATTATAATATTGAATTTCTGCATTTGAATAATAAGAGCTTGGATAAAATAGATGATGTTATAAACAAAATGAATGTTAGTAAACTGAATATGGATAATAACAAGATTGTGATGTTGAACTCATCTTGCTTTAGAAATGAGTCTTCATTTAAGCTCTTATCGTTGAATAATAATTCAATCAAGGTAATAGAAACCAAATCGATACCGAAAGCCAAGGATATTTATTTGAACCAAAATTTCATCGAAATAATATTAGCGGACATGTTCGTTGATATTACATTAGTAGAGATGCTGCATCTAGAAAACAACTGTCTAAAAACACTGACAGATAAGTCGTTGACAGGTTTGACAGCTAGCCGATTGACGTTGAGATATAATGAGATCGAAAAATTAGAAGCCAACTCGATTCCCACGGTGCAACAAGTGTACCTTAATAGAAACCGCTTGGAATCTCTGGATGCGAACATCTTCGTTAACATATCTTACATAGGCATACTCGACTTAAGTTCGAACAATATAAGCAATATTTCGGAAGGCACGTTCAAAGACGGTTACTTTTCGGTATTGAATTTATATTTCAATAATATTACGAAAATAACAAAAAAGACGTTTTCTGGACTAACTAGGACGTTGAATTTGTCATTGTCGCACAATGAGATCGAAGTTTTGGAAGACGGTTCGATACCGAGAGTGGAAAATTTAGATTTGGAGAATAATCCTCTTAAGGGAATCCACGAGGCAGAGTTCAGTGATTTGACGTATCTGAAGGAAGTTAAAGTAACATCCAAAGATGATTTTGATATCTCGTTGCCCAACGATGTTATAGTTTTAAATTCGGGTGTAATGGTCAAACATTACGGAATGTTTCATTTTATTATACGGAAGAGTACAGTTTACGCAATAGGTGGCGTTATTTTGATCATTTTCGTTGCGATAGTAATTGGAATAATTGCGAAAAACCAATGTTCAAGTGAGTGATGTTCTGCTGTATTTTAAAATTAATCTAATGTAGAGGATTGGTTTTAGAACGTTCCAGGGTGACTCAGCATAATTCTGTACATTTGGGAAAGGTATTGGCTTCAGTCTATTTGATTATTATTGTTTTTATTATTTATTTATTTAAAAATCTTAATTTACTCATTTAGGATAAAAGGGTTATTTTGCTATTAAGTATTTAAGATTTTAGTTATATAACCCTTTGCGGAGAATTTTGTTGTATTTCAGTAACACAAGTGGCGCCTCTACAAAACTAAGCTTATACGGTTTTGTCTGAAAAATACTTGTTATATCTTGCTTAGAACAAAGTAGTCTTGTATATAATTTTGTATATCCAAAGTCCCCTGTATAGAGGATAGGGCGGATATATCCGCCGATTATCCGAAACAGTCCTTTGTAGGAGTTGACTTTTTGTTTCATTATTATTGTATGGAAATGATAAATTATGAGTTTTTTATATTGTTGCAATGAATATAATTATTATTTAATAAATTATATAGTAATTTTTCCAATCAAATAGTTGCAGATAGTTTTGTAATTAAATTAATAAAGCGTATACTCTGGGTAAATGGTTTTGCCAATATTTTTGAAACCGGAATAATCGAGGAACTAAATGCAACAATAATTGATTCCGCACTGATTGAAACCGTACAAATCGAGGACTTTAAACAGGACTTTAATACAAAAAAATTTAGTTTGTTTTGAAATTTTATAACCGAACTAAACTGAATCCGTATTGATCCGTACTATGCGAGATATTGCCTGTATTCATATAGATTATAATTATATAAAAAAAGTGCTGTTTTCAGAATATTTAGAAGAAATTACAATAATGAATGTAATACATATTGTTTTAAAATAAAATAATTATAAAGAAATTATTTGTTTTAGGAGGTGAGAAATAGAGAATTACCTGAAGGTATGTGCATAATAAAATACATTTAATTTTTATTAATAATTGCGTTTAGTTTCAGCGTCTGGTGCCCAGTACAACGAATACGAAGGTAACATTTTGTTTGTTCCGTTCATTATACAATAATAATATAATAAATTGATAATAATTTGTGTTTGCAGAAATTGATCCAACAGCTGAATCATTAATATGTAAGTAATTTACTTATTGTTTGTACCGTGTATTAATTAACTGGTTGCATTTTATTGTAGATTCAAAGGAGAATGATTTTTATGGCGTACAGATAGAGAATAATAATTAATTGTATTTTTCTTTATGTCACATTGTTTTAATAATATATTTCTCATTTAATGTAGCTTTTATCTTACTTACGTCCTTTTCTGTAGCTTATTGTCAATCGTTTCCACTAATATCCCACATTATTTGAAACGTAAAGGGTAGAAACCGATCACATAAATGCTGAAGTAAAAGTAAGTTTGTTTTGAAAATTTCAAACCGTATTATGTGAGGTATTGGTGCAATAGTTTATATAAACACTTCGTTTTATACAAAATAGTATTAATCATTTTCTTAGTTATCTTATATAATGTAATTAAAATAAAAAGAGTTGAGTGACCAGTTGCTACTATGTAAAAAAATGTAAATAAAATATGCGTTAATCAGTCCAATCAAAGCAACTGGTTTGGTATACAACTTTTTAGTCTTTGCATTCAGTTCAGTACTCAATATTGACCCAAACTCAATATTGACCCATATATAAAAAGATTTGGTATCTATTCAAAATTTGATGATTTTACTTTTTTCAGCAAATACTTCAAATTTGTTCAAATTTGACCGATCCAATTTAGTCGTCAAAAATTAGGCTTTAGCAAATAGTAATAATTACTTCATTAAATGCTCATTTTGAATTATATTGTTAAAACTAAATTGCAGCACAATTTAACATTTTTAACAAATCTTGAGCAAATCGTATTCATTTTTATAATTAGAATAAGTATACAATCATTTTATTAACAGATCATAAGTGTGCATAATTTATTGTTATTTCATCCTTTAATATTAATAAAATATAAAACTTTAATAAGTTAACTGTTTTTGTTTACTTTTTATTTTGTATATCTGTTGAAAGTTATTATAATAGTTTATTTTTTTAATTTATAATAATTTATTACGTATGTATTTCCTGTTTATCATGATTATTCTCATGCTCAATTCATTGATACAAAGTTATCTAATTCCTCGGGAAGAAGAAAAATAATGAAATATAATTTTTAGATTAATTTTATTTCTATAAATAACTCTAATCATTAATTTGTAGTATAATTAACAAATAAATTTATAGCTTTAAATCAATAAAAATGAATATTTTATTAATTTCTGCTAAATATGTATACGTATAGTCAGTGCTTTTGAGACCTTAGACGCAATTAAATTTTCAGGTACCAAAAATATTTTTAGTTTTGTTACAAAAAAACGGTTTACATCAAAATTACCATTATTTATTTCTTAATTGAAAATTTATGTAGGACAAAAGTGCTCTTTTAAGTTTAAATTGGTGCAATTATCAGACATTTTTAAACAATATTTGTTATGAAAAAGAAACTTAAAAATTCTACAAGAACATTTTTATAATCTGAAAATAAAATAATATTTCAAATTAGTGAAAATAGTTGACAAATTATTAAGATTAAGATGGTCTACTTATTAAAATCAAACTTATTGTAATAAATTGTGATGCAAAGAAATAAATGTTATTATAGTTTTTTTTTAAATTATTTTGTAGGATTACGGAAAAGGATGTTGGGGTTAACCGAATCATGATTGCGAGAACTCATTTTTATCTTGAAACTGCAGCGATGGAAAAGCCGAGTTCCATTTATACGCATTAAAAGTCAGTGCGTGTACTTAAATGGACGTATTTAAAACGTTGCAATTATAAAAATGTTTCTATTCCTACTTTTCACATGGTTAGTTAATTTAAGTGTCGAAGGAACAAAATGTGAAATAAATAAGAAATGCAATCTGTATTGTAGTAAAAACGCTACCATAGAAATAGAAGTTTTTACTACGTGCGAAAAATTGGACTATGTCAGTTTGATTTACACTAATATTGATGAAATACAGAAATTGAAACCTTTTTCAATAAAAAATCTCAGTCTAACATCTAATGATATACAAAATATAAGTCGTGCAATCAAGGGATTACAAATTGAAATATTGAATATTAATTACAATAATATAACGGAATTGAAAACAGGTATGTTTGAAGAAAGCGAATCTTTCAGAACCGTATCACTGGGAAATAATCAAATTAAGGTTTTGCAACGAAATTCGATCCCTAAGGCATTCTTTTTATATCTCAACAATAATTTGATTGAACTGTTAAATACAGACATGTTTATTGACATATCCTACGTTAAATGCTTACATTTGAATAATAATCGTTTAAAGAAGATTACGGCTTTAACACTGATGGGTTTAAAAGCAATTACTTTGGAATTAAGCCATAATCAGTTAGAAGATTTAGAAGACAGATCAATACCGGAAGTAGAAAAATTGTTCATGAATAACAATAAACTGACATCAATTAATTCAAAAATGTTCCTTAATATTTCGCACTTGTCAACCCTCGAATTGATTTATAATAGAATCATCGATATAACGAATTGGAACTTTAAAAATTCCAACCTGAGTATACTCAAATTAAATTATAATAAAATATTCAAAATAACGCAAAAGTCTTTTTCGGACATGAAGATGTTAATGAATTTATCGCTAACAAATAATCTGATTTCATCGCTGGAAATGAATTCAATACCGAAAGTGAAATATCTAAATTTGAGTTACAATTTACTTACATCCATTGAAGCAAACGTGTTCTCCGAACTGGACCATCTAAAGATCTTGGATATAAGGTACAATTGTATCAAAGAGACAGATTTGAAATTGATGGAACAAGTATTGATTTTGAATGGAGAAATTAACGAAAAGTGCATGCTGAACAGTAATCGTATGACGGAAATGGACATATTTTTGATATCAAAAATTGCAGTTCTTGCAGTTAGTATAGTCATATTGGTTGTGGCTATAGCCGCTATTCTAATAAGAGTATATTCAAGTGAGTGAAAGTTGTAAATGATCTCCACACTTAATTTACACTAAATGTTTCAGGACGTCAAGCTCAAACTTCAGTGAGTTTCGAAAAATCGAAGGTAATAACTTTATATATAAATAAATCGAAGTTAGTTTATATTCAATTGATTTGATTAAACATAATTGAGATTTATTGAATTGAACTAATCGTTATGTTTTAGAAGGATAGAGAGCAACAAGTGGAAGAATTAAAGGCCGGTGAGTATAGATGGAATAAGAAGTTATTAAGATATTTTCAATAAATTATTTGTTTTAGTTTCTAAAAGCGAGGAACACATTTATGAAGGTATAGTTAAGCATATACGACAATGATAATATATTCAATATGGATTTTTGTTTCAGAGATTAACGAAAAACTTGAATCAGTGGAATGTAAGTAATTAATATTTCATGACCTTTTTATTACATAATTTTTTATTTATAATTATAGATTCGAAAGAAAACGATATCTATGGAGTTACGAATTAGATGTACATCTATACCTCGTATAGTGCGGCTAATCTGTTTTAAACCGGACTAATCGAGGAAATAAATACATGCAATTAAAAACTTATGTACTTATTTAAATGAAATTTGATAATCAGGATGGAAATGTAACGATTTATATGGTATTTGTTTATGTTGATAATTTGTTTTTATAATTAATTAATTATTGTAATTAATAATTTTTGATATTATTATTTTATTTATTTTTTTGATTGTAATGCTATAATAAAATTACATGTTTATGGGTTTGTTGATTCTGTTAATTAATACTAATCGTCAAGTTTCCATTTGGTTACATGACATCTATCGTCAAAAAGAGCACTTTTGTACTTATTATTTTATATCCACTCATGTAGTCAATAAGCAACATCAGATGAATACATCAACAGTACCTGTTCCACCAATAACCTAGACTGTTTGAAACCGGACTACTCGAGGACATTAAAAGCGCATAAAAATAAGCTACACAAATAAAGAGACTTGACTGAAGAAAGGGGAGAAAATCTATCATTTATATATAAACAATGTTAAAAAATAACTAATGTAAATTGTTGAATTTCAGGCGAAAAGTTCCTATTTTATGTAACAAACATATTTATGTATTTTTGCAATGAACAACAAATCGCATCAAATTTGATAACTTAATAATTGAATTATTCGGTTTTCCTGAAAAAGAAAAATCTGAAAAATATGTACTATATCGAAATTCATATCTTAATTGTGTCCTTTAGTATTTCTCCACTTGGTGCATAAATATAATTTTCAGGATTGAAAGACTGGGTTCAAATAACCTTATATCTATTTTTATGTACACTATACGTTTTAGTTCATTTCGCATTTTCTCAAAATCATCACATTGACTAAGACTATTTGGAGCCATCAACTAACATAGTTTCGATTCCCTCAAGTAATAGTCTTACATAATTAACCAAAATTTATTTTTGTTTGTTTCTTTGGGGCCCTCAATTAATACTGTCTTGAGTCCTTCTACTATCATTGATAGGGTGTCATCAATTAACACTGTTTTGGGACCCTCAATTAAGACTGTACAAGGGCCCTTAAGTAACACTGTTTCAGTTCACTGGACTAAGATTCATAGTCCCATACAATTAATCCAAAATTTGTGGGGCCTCAACAACAAAGACTGTTCGGGAGCCCCTCAACTAACACTGTTTCGGTTCCCTGGATTAAGACTCATAATCCCATCTAATTAATCAAAAACTTGGCTTTTTTCTTAGTTTTTTTTTTGATGACCTCAATTATGTCCTTACTATTTGTCTACTTCGTATTAATGTATAAATATAATTTTTAGGATTGAGAGAATAAATTCAATAACCATTTGTATATCTATTTTTATGTTCACTATACATTTTAGTTCATTTCGCATTTTTTCAAAATCATCACATTGATTAAGACTATTTGGAGCCATCAACTAACACAGTCCAGGACCCTCAAATAATGTTGGTTGGAAATCCTCAAGTAACATAGTTTCGATTCCCTCAAGTAATAGTCTTACATAATTAACCCAAATTTGTTTTTTTTTGTTTGGGGCCCTCAATTAATACTGTCTTGAGTCCTTAACTAACATTGATAGGGTGTCATCAATTAACACTGTTTCGGGAACCTCAATTAAGACAGTTCAAGGGCCCTTAAGTAACACTGTTTCAGTTCACTGGACTAAGACTCTTAGTCCAATCCAATTAATCCAAAATTTGTTTAATCCTGTTTTGTTTTTTTGGGGCCCTCAATTATCAATGTCTGGGGTACTCACCTTTCGTGGCCCTCAACAATAAAGACTATTTCGGGTCCCTGGACTAAGACTGATGATCTTATTCTAGTGAAGCCAAAATTGGCTTAATTTTTTTTTTATAGCAAAAGAGGTTGCAGCCTAAATCCGTCTCTGATTATTAATAATAAAACATGTTGTTGTTTGCATGCTATGGAAATCCCGACTGTCATGCCGGTGGTTAGCGGAAAAAACGCCCAGATCATTCGAAGCGCCTTGAAAATAAGCGCAGTAACAATTGTGCGTTGAAAATGTTCGCAGCGATTGTTGTTTTGCTTGCTTCCGTTTGGTTCGGTAATTGTGCTGCTGAGAAAACAATATGTAAAATTGACGAGAATTGCACGATGAATTGCGCAAGTGACGACATCATAGATTTAGAAAGTTCTACAGACTGCAAAACTATAGTTGTGAAATTATTAAAAAGCAATGTCGATGTTTGGCAGAAGTTAAAGCGTTATCCAATTGAAAAAGTAGTTATGTTCCAACAAAACGATCTCCAGAATATAGACGATTTGTTTAAAGAAACAAACATTAAAAAGTTGTACCTATATCAAAACAACTTAACAGAGTTGAAGACAGGTACGTTCGATGAAAACAAACCTTTCGAAACCTTAGCACTAAATCGTAACCAAATTAAACTTTTGGAAACGAAATCGATTCCTGCCGTTAAAACATTATATCTGCATTACAATTTAATTGAATCGTTGAACGCAGACGCGTTTGTTAACATATCGCACGTGAAAATACTGCGATTGGACAACAACAATATAGAGAAGATTACGGCTGCATCTCTGATGGGTTTAAAAGCGGATTATTTGGATTTAAGCTATAACCGTATAGAATATTTGGAAGACGCATCAATTCCTGAAGTGAAACATATAAAACTAGACAACAATAAACTGGCATCAATTGATTCCAAAAAGTTCGTTAATATTTCGTATACAATTAACCTCGATCTGAGCTACAACAGAATTACGCAATTATCGGAAAATTCTTTTTCTGGGATGCTGAATTTAACGAATTTATCGCTGTCAAATAATCTGATCGCATCACTCGACATGTATTCAATACCGACAGTGAAAAATCTGAATTTGAGTTACAATTTAATTACTTTCATCAATACTAGTATGTTCGAGGATATAGATTATCTAATGTCTCTGGATATAAATTATAATTGCATCAAATCGACCGATTTTCATCTAATAAATATGAACGTTTCGAATCAAAAGGATAATGAAACGTGCAAGTTAAATCGAAAGGACACATCCAAAATAAAAAAGTTCACATCCAACTTGATGATTGCAATTTTCTTAATGCTAACATTGATTTTGGTTGGTATAGTTACAGCAATTGCATTAAGTGAGTGAGTTAACATTTATTTTGGAAACATAATATTTTTTGTGCAATGTTTTAGGACGTTACGCCGAATCCTCTACATATAATTTAAAGGTAATAAATTCCTAGAAAGCTTTCAATTTAATTCTGGTATTTACTGAAATAATTATTGTGTTTTAGAATGATGAGACAACAAGAGGGACATCTAATGGTAAAACGGATGATATCAAAATGGTTTCAATCGATTGATTATATATATTTCAGTTTATGATATGTCTTAATGAAATTTACGTAGGTATATTGTAACGAATAAAAGTAAAATCATCAATTATTTCTTACAGAAATTAACGAAGAAACAAAATCTGTAGAATATGAGTAATTTATCAATTGTTATTAATATTTATTTTTATGTATAATTTCAGATTTCACAGCATTCTTAAAAAAACGTGATATGTTTAATTATTATGTTAATTACGTTGTTTTTTTTTTTTGTAAAATCTTGTTCAGAATATTTCTTTTTAATGCATTGATTTTTTTATTTTAATAATAAAAAATATATATATATAATATTTATTATAAGAAATTATAAAATATTACACAGTTTGTGGTAACATTTATCAATTATTTGAATTATGAGTAATTTGCAGATATATGTTTGAGCTATTTGTATCATTTTATATGAAATACGTCAACTATTTTACAGGAAATACCTCAATTATTTTATCGTCGGTTATACGCATTGTAACAGTTTCTTTTCGAGCTCTACTGTTAACAATCAATTAGTTTGAAAAATGTGTCGGAACAAAATCATATTTCACCCCAAGTTGTCATATTCGAATTTTCTCATATCGATTTTTTTTTTTTGTATGTTGTATAATTTTGATCATCAATGTGAACATTGAGTAAATTTAAGATCGCGGTTGACATTAGGTAGGTAATCTTTCCCGGTGGATAGTTCCCATTATGATGATTTTGATTAGAGTATATTTATGTTCTACGATTCCACTATTTCCTTTCACTGTGAATCTGCTGCTATCCTTAACACTGTCAATGTCCATCGCATTGGCTGAACCTCATTCATTTCACTGTCCATCTGTGATGAACGATGGCCCTATTGCTGCAAGCACCGGGAGGTCTCACAAAGGCTTGACCAGGATTCGAAATGGCGACTTAACCATTTGGATATTAGTCGCCCTATTGTTGTTTCCATCTTTTCTCATGGTTTGTTAATTAATACTAAATGTAAGCTATTGTGATATTTTACTATGTTCAAAGATATTGGTGAAATACGCATCTGGCGTAAAAATATGTATGTTGAAGAAACTGAAGAAATTTAAATTACATGTACGAAATTTTCTGGGGGATCTATTAAAAATTATATAAATATTATGATAGAATTGGAAACACAAATGGAATCAATCACATATAGGATTATGGACATATATATTAATTCTATCAATTTTTAAATGGATGAAGAATGGCGATCAAATATCACATCAAGCATTACGTTTACCGGTAATGGAAACCTTAATTATCAAATTGCCTAAGTATTCTATAGAATGGCTAATTTTATTGGGTTGGGTTGGGTTAGTGCATTTATTCTAAGAAATTGTATTAAAATAAATAAAAATGATGGAAGGAAAAGGATGTTGGGGTTAACCGAGTCATGATTGCGATAACTCATTTTTGTTTTATATCTGAAACGATTGTTGCATTTATATGCATTCAAAGTGAGTGCGTGCACGTAGATGCACGTATTTAAAGTAAAAAACGTTGCAATCTTAAAAATGTTTTTATTCCTAGTTTTCTCATGGTTAGTTAATTTAAGTGTCGAAGGAACAAAATGTGAAATAAATAAGGAATGCAATTTGTATTGTAGTAAAGGCGCTACCATAAAAGTAGCTAGTACTAAGTGCAAAATATTGAACGATGTCAGTTTGACTTACACTAATATTGATGAAATACCGAAATTGAAACCTTTTTCAATAACATATCTCATTCTAAAATCTAATGATATACAACATATAAGTCGTGGAATCAAGGAATTAAAAATTGAAAAATTGTATTTAAATGACAATGCTATTACGGAATTGAAAACAGGTATGTTTGAAGAAAAACAATCTTTCAGAATCGTATGGCTAGAAAATAATCAAATTAATGTTTTGCAACGAAAATCGATTCCTATGGCTCATTATCTATATCTCAATAACAATTTGATTAAATCATTAAATGCAGACATGTTTATTAATATATTCTACGTGCAATACTTATATTTGGATAATAATCGTTTAAAGAAGATTACGGCTTCATCACTGATGGGTTTAAAAGCAATTACTTTGGAATTAAGCCGTAATCAGTTAGAAGATTTTGAGGGCATGAGGATGTTAAAGGATTTATCGCTAACAAATAATCTGATTTCATCGCTGGAAATAAATTCAATACCAAAAGTGAAAAATCTAAATTTGAGTTACAATTTACTTACATCCATCGAAGCAAACATGTTCTCCGATGTGTATTATCTTAAGTCTCTTGATATAACGTACAACTGTATCAAAGAGACAGATTTGAAATTAATGGAAAAAGTATTGATTTTGAATAGAAAATTTAACGAAAAGTGCATGCTGAACAGTAATCATATCACGCAAATGGACATAGTTTTGATATTGAATAGTGCAGTTTTTGTCATATTAGTTATTGCCGCTATTGTAATAACAGTATATACAAGTGAGTGAGTTAAATTTTGTTTTGGGAACATAATACTTTTAGCAATGTTTTAGGACGATGCACCAAATTCTCAAAGCATTTAACGGTAATTAATTTCAAATTAAAATAAGTTTGCATTAAGAGGTGAACGATTTGTTATTTATTAACAATAGTAGAAAAAAAATTAATTAAGTTTTTCTTTATTCCTATGTAGACTAGAAACGTTTCATTAAAAATGACCAATCAGAGTTTATCGTTTGCCTTTTAATACATAATACTTTATATATTGCTTCAAAGCAACGCACATTGAATTTACTATAAATATTTATCGTATATTTCAGAATCCCGATACGCCCGATACGCCCAATGCACAATTATCTTATGGTAAGGATGGAAGGAATATAATTATTATTCATTATCAATAATTGGTTAATAATTTAGTTTTTATGTTTTGTAGAAATTTATTCAATTTTGATCATTGAGTTTGAAAAGCGTGTCGCAAAATATTCGTATATTAAATAAGTTTTTATTATGAAAATACATTAATCGCATTCAAAGTGAGTAAAAGTACGTAAATCGACTTACATTTTAACTTACTTATTTAAAAAAAAACAGTTTAAGTTCATTTCTTACTTTATTACTCAATTTAAAAAGTTGTGCAATGATGATGTAAATAATCGTCTTTGTTATTATTGATGATTTTGATGTAATGGCTACATTTCTATTTTACGATTAATTTAATTTATTTATTATTTCAGATCGCGTTACAAATGCAGTGTATATGGAAAACGATGGAGGGTACGTAGGTATGTAGTAAAATAACATAATTTCATAGAAAAAGCAATAATTTTTTTTTTATCATTTAGAAGCTACAAACGTATACGAAGGTAATCAAGTACGTTGCTTAAATTTAATAATTAGTTTTACTGAATATGTCGTTTCAGAGATCAACGATATTGCTGTACAACGAGAATCCAACGGATGTAAGTTAATATTCTGGTATTTGCAATATATGTTATTAATTGAAACTTTCAGATTTGGTCCCTCCAAGCGTTCCGCGCATTCTTTAATTCTTAATAGTTATAATATCAACGTAAATGATGATTTCTCATGAATGTTTTTTTATTTTTGTTTACTTTATATGAATATTACAATAAATATTATATTTAGAGTCTGTTATTACTTGTAATTCAGTAAATACATAATATATCAATAAGTAATATATCTTAAATAATTATTTTAATACTTTTCTGTATCTACTTTTAAATCTCGATCAGGGATTTCAAACCTTTCTTCTACTTCCACCTCCTTGAATAAACAAAACTGTTACAAAATTAAAGATTTATCTGAAACTTTGCAAACGATTGCCTTTCAACAATCAATGGACTGAATTAAATATGGAGAAGCAAATTATTCTGGATTTTATTAGAATTTTTGTATAATTTCATAAAACTTTATAAATAAAATTTCTAAACTCCAAAGACCCCAAATGGGTCTACATGGACCCAGTTGGGAACCCCTGGTCTATATGATTATTGGTTACCTAGATTGGTTCTTATATGAAGTTTACTATTGGTAGATGATGTTAGTTGATATTTATATATATATAATTATAATTATATATTTATATATAAGTAGATGGTACTGAAGTTCTTGTGGAAGGTACTTGGCAATGGTGTCATATAAAGTGGTGAATGAAATTACAAAATATAGATGGAAAAGATGGGAAAATTTAGGTGAAGAAAAATTAAGCTTGAAGATGATTCTTCATAAAAATGTAACATCTTCAGAAAACATTCAAAAAATCCATGATGTGGTATTAGATTGACGAGTGAATGTGCAACACAACAATGAATCTGCTGCAATCCTTAACACTGTCAATGTCCATCGACTTGGCTGAACCTCATTCATTTCACTGTCCATCTGTGATGAACGATGGCCTTATTGCTGCAAGCACCGGGAGGGCTCACAAAAGACCTTGACCAGGATTCGAAACGGCGACTTAACCATTTGGCTATTAGTCGCCCTATTTAATTTTTTTTTGTTTCCAATTTCTCTCATGGTTTGTTAATTGATACTAAATATAAGCTATTATGATATTTTACTATGTGCAAAGATATCGGTGAAATACGTATCTGGCGCAAAAATATGTATGTTGAAGAAACTCAAGAAATTTAAATTACATATACGAAATTTTCTGGCGGATCTATTAAAAATTATATAAATACTGATATTATGATAGAATTAGAAACACAAATGGAATCAATCACATATAGGATTATGGACAAATATATTCATTCCATCAATTTTTAAATGGATGAAGAATGACGATCAAATATCACACCTTAATTATCAAATTGCCTAGGTATTCTATAGAATGACGAATTTTATTAGGTTGGTGCATTTATTTTAAGAAATTGTAATAAAATAAATAAAAATGTAAATAAATGATTTCAATTATTTTTGTATGATTATGCAAAAGGATGTTGGGGTTAACCGAGACAAGATTGCGCGAACTTATTTTTGTCTTTAATCTGAAACGATTGTTGCATTTATCGCATTAAAAGTGAGCGCGTCAACAACGATTTAAAGTAGAAACGTTGCGATCATAAAAATGTTCCTATTAATACTTTTCTCGTGTTTTCTTAATTTAAGTGCTCAAAAAATAAAATGTGAAATAAATAAGGAATGTAATCTGTATTGTACTAAAAACGCTACCATAGAAGTAACTATTACTACGTGCAAAATATTGAACTATGTCAGTTTGATGTACACTAATATTGGTGAAACACAGAAATTGAAACCTTTTTCAATAAAAATTCTCATTCTAACATCTAATGATATACAAAATATAAGTCGTGCAATCAAGGGATTAAAAATTGAAAGATTGAATATAAATGAAAATATTATTACGGAATTGAAAACAGGTATGTTTGAAGAAAAGAAATCTTTCAGAACCGTATCGCTAGTAAATAATCAAATTAATGTTTTGCAACGAAAATCGATTCCTATGGCTCTTTATCTATATCTCAATAACAATTTGATTAAATCATTAAATGCAGACATGTTTATTAATATATCCTACGTGCAATCCTTATATTTGAATAATAACTGTTTAAAGAAGATTACGGTTTCATCACTGATGGGTTTAAAAGCAATTATTTTGGAATTAAGCCATAATCAGTTAGAAGATTTAGAAGACAGATCAATACCGGAAGTAGAAAAATTGTTCATGAACAACAATAAACTGACATCAATTAATTCAAAAATGTTCGTTAATATTTCGCACTTGTCAATCCTCGAATTGAGTTATAATAAAATCACCGAAATAACGAATTGCAAAATTAACAATTCCAACCTGAGCATACTCAAATTAAGTCACAATAAAATATCCCACATAGTGCAAGCGTCTTTTGAGGGGATGCAGATGTTAAAGAATTTATCGCTAACAAATAATCTGATTACATCGATGGAAATGAATTCAATACCGATAGTGGAATATCTAGATTTGAGTTACAATTTACTTACATCCATCGAAGAAAACATGTTCTCCGATGTGTATTATCTTGAGTCTGTGGATATAAGGTACAATTGTATCAAAGAGACAGATTTGAAATTGATGGAACAAGTATTGATTTTGAATCAAAAATTTAACGAAAAGTGCAGTACTCATATCACGAAAATGGACATATTTTTGATATTGAATAGTGCAGTTTTTGTTGTATTAGTTATTGTCGCTATTGTAATAACAGTATATACAAGTGAGTGAGTTAAATTTTGTTTTGGGAACATAATATTTTTAAACAATGTTTTAGGACGATTCACCAAATTCTCAAAGCATTTTACGGTAATTAATTTATAATAAAAATAAGTTTGCATTAAGAGGTGAACGATTTGTTATTTATTAACAATAGTAGAAAAAAAGTAATTAAATTTTTCTTTATTCCTACGTAGACTAGAAACGTTTCATTCAAATGACCAATCAGAGTTTATCGTTCGCCTTTTAATACATAATACTTTATATATTGCTTCAAAGCAACGCACATCAAATTTACTTTAATTATTTATTGCATGTTTCAGAATTCCGATTGGGCCTATAATGCACAATTATTTTATGGTAAGGATGGAAGGAATATAATTATTATTGGTTAACTATTTACTTTTTATGTTTTGTATAAATATTTTCAATTTTGATCATTGAGTTTGAAAAGCGTGTGGCAAAATATTCGTATATTAAATAAGTTTTTATTATGAAAATACACTAATCGCATTCAAAGTTAGTAGACTTAGTTGACTTATATTTTGTAAAGAAGAAATACAGAGAAATGTTTTCTTCCTTATTTACAAAAAAACCTAATATAAGTATTTATTAATATATTTTTCTATTAATAATGAACAAAAGTTAGCTAAGTTGGCATTAATTCATTTTTTTCTGAAAAAAACGTTGTTTCTCAATTTGTTAAAGTCTAACAAGATTTCATGCCAAATTTCAAGAAGAAAAAAAAAAGTCTTTAGTTCCAATGAAGAGATCATTAATTAAAAGTTGACAAGCTCCAAAAAAGCCAATTTTGAGGAGTGTTTTGAAGGAGATTTAAGAAATGTATTGAAATAAATGGAAATTATGTAGAGACATTACGAAAGGATGAAAATTAAATATATTAAAATAAAATTGTTTTTATTTTGTATATACATTTATTAAAATATAGAAAATGCTTATTTTTTTGAATAATTATTCACAACTTACTTTTCTTTGTTAGTTTGCGGTAAAATGTATCAATCATTTATAATAGATAAGTAATATATAAGTAGCTATTTACATCATTGTATAGGAAGTATGTGGTCTAATTGATTATTTCATCATCAGTTATGCGCACTTATTAAAAAAAAAACAGTTTAAGTTAATTTCTTACTTTATTACTCAATTTAAAAAGTTGTGCAATGATGATGTAAATAATCGTCTTTGTTATTGTTGTTGCTTTTGATGTAATGGCTATATTTCTATTTTACGATTAAATCAACATTTTTAAATTTAGATTTTATTAAATGTCACAATTAATTTTATTTATTTATTATTGCAGATCGCATTACAAATGCAGTGTATATCAAAAACGATGGAGGATACGTAGGTATGTAGTAAAATAACATAATTTCATGGAAAAAGCAATAAATAATATTTTTTTTATCATTTAGAAACTACAAACGAATACGAAGGTAATCAAGTCCGTTGCTTAAATTTAATAATTAGTTTTACTGAATATGTCGTTTCAGAGATCAACGATATTGCTGTACAACGAGAATCCAACGGATGTTAGTTAGTATTTAATATTTGTGTATTTTATATCTATTTTCATTAATTGAAACTTTCAGATTTGATCCCGCATTCTTTAATGCTTAATAGTTATAATATCAACGTAAATGATAATTTCTCATGAATGTTTTCTATTTTTGTTTACTTTATATGAATATTATAATAAATATTATATTTAGAGTCTGTTGTTACTTGAAATTCAGTAAATACATAATATCTCAATAAGCAATATATCTTAAATAATTATTTGAATACTTTTCTGTATCTACTTTCAAATCTCGATCAGGGATTTCAAACCTTTCTTATACATCCACCTTCTTGAATAAACTAAGGTTTTCAATCGAACCCTAATTTCTGTACAGTATATATTGTAATGCACAAAATCGGCAATAAACAAGTTATTTGTATTTAGTTTCAAATAAAATTACAAGATATAGATGGAGAAGATGGAAAATTTAGGTGAAGAAAAATTAAGCTTGAAGATGATTCTCCAAGAAAATGTAACATCTTCAGAAAACATTCAAAAAGTCCATCATATGGTATTATATGATTGACGAGAGAATGTGCAACACAACGAGTTTTCCATTGCCGCATTTACTAACAAACTCATGCGAATTTTTCAAGCATCCTTTGGATTCGCCAGGAGTAAGTATACCATCTTCTATCATAATCTTAATTAAAATAAAACTTATTATAAAATAAATAAAAATAAATAAGTTTTATTATAATTGTTTTCAATTATTTTTGTATGATTATGGAAAAGGATGTTGGGGTTAACCAAATCATGATTGCGCGAACTCATTTTTGTCTCAAATCTGAAACGATTGTTGCATTTATACGCATTAAAAGTGAGTGCGTGCACGTAAATGGACGTATTTAAAGTAAAAACGTTGCGATCATAAAAAATGTTCCTATTAATACTTTTCTCGTGTTTTGTTAATTTAAGTGCTCAAAAAATAAAATGTGAAATATATAAGGAATGCAATCTGTATTGTAGTAAAAACGCAACGATAGAATTACGAGTTATTGCAATGTGCAAAAAATTGGAATATGTTGGTTTGATTTCTACAAATATTGATTTGTCTTTTCTCAAATTTTTTGGTCCGCGACCCTCTTTTGCACTTAAAAAATTTAAAGGACTCCCCGAAGAGTGGGTATGTGTAGAAAAACGAAGAAGAACATACCCTCCCGTCTGTCATCAATTTTTCTGCGACTCCCCAAATATTTTTCGCCTGCTGGGGGTTGCGACCCACACTTTGAGAATCACTATTCTAAGGTATTACATGCTGTAGAAGAAACACGAATACAAGAAATAACGCAAACACTTCTTTCTTTATAAAATCCAAAGAACTTTAGGCAAATACATCTAGCGTATTTCTTCTACTAGCTTCAAAGAGTGGACTACTAGAGTTGCAATGAAATTACAAGAGATAGATAGACATGGGATAGGAAGAGTACTGACTTACTAGGAGTGAGTGCAAAAGTAAAAGCAGAAGTTAAACTCTTTTGTCACTCTGTCTCTGATTAGGGTACCAAGAAGGAAACAAATCAACGATATTGTGTATCTCACATATTTTAACCGGATATACTTTTGGATGGAAAATTACTGGATGGTGCAATTATGTATTGCAAATGTATATAAATAAATTATAATTCGATAAAAAAATACTTCTTATTTGTAATTTTGCAATGGCTTTGTAGGATTTCCGAGAAGGATGTTGGGGTTAGCCAACACATAATTACGGAAATTAGTATTTATCATGAAAATGCGATGATAAAATAAACGAGTTTATTTTATATGCATTCAAAGTAAGTGTGTGTACGTAAATGGATGTATTTAGAATAAATCGTTGTGATTTTAAAATGTTACTCTTTCTTCTTGTCTCGTGGTTTGTTAATTTAAGTGCTGAAAGAACAGAATGTTACTTAAGTACTGAATGTAATCTGTATTGTTACAATAAGGATAGGATAAAAATAAGAGATTTAACTATCTGCGACAATTTGCAATATGTAAGGTTGATAAACACTAACAGTGATGAAATACAAAAATTATATTTTTTTTCGATAACAAATCTCATTCTGAGAGTTTATGATATAAATAATGTAAGTCATGCAATTAAAGGATTAAAAATTAAAAGTTTGAGTATATATGACAGTAATATAACGGAATTGAAAACAGGTATGTTTGAAAGAAGTAAACCTTTTATCAAATTCTTTCTAGTTCATAATCAAATTAAGTTTTTGCAAAAAAAATCGATTCCTGTGGCTCGATTTTTATCACTAGAAAATAATTTAATTGAAACGTTAAATGCAAGCATGTTTATTGACATATGGTACGTGGAAATATTAAATTTGAACCATAATCGTATAAAGATGATTACGGCTTCATCATTGATAGGTTTAAATGCATTTTCTTTAGAGTTAAACCATAACCTTATAGAAGATTTAGAAGACAGGTCAATACCGGAAGTAGAAGAAATGTACATTAATAACAATAAACTAATACTGATACATTCTAAAATGTTTGTTAATATATCAAAAACATACAAACTCGATGTGAGCTGCAATAACATCACCAGTTTTAACTTTGAAAACTCTAAGCTCAATGCATTAAATATGAGCTACAATCAAATTACATACTTATCGCAAAATTATTTTTCGGGAATGAAGTTGTTAACGAATTTATCACTGTCTAACAATTTGATTTCATCATTGGAAACGAAATCAATACCATTGGTTACAAATCTAAATTTGAGTTACAATTTGCTTACATCCATCGAAGCAAACATTTTCACCGATGTGGATCTTCTTAAGTCTCTTGATATAAAGAACAATTGCATCAAATATATAGATTTGAAATTGGCGGAAAAGTTGATCGTTTCAAATAGAAAATTGAACGAAAAGTGCACACTGGATGTTAATCGTATGACGGAAAATTTGATATCGAAAAGTGCAGGTTTTGCAATTATCATATTAGTCATGTTAGTTGTGGTTATAGCCGCTATTATAATAACGGTATATTCAAGTGAGTGAGTTAAATTTTATTTTGTGAACATAATATTTTTAATCGATGTTTTAGGACGATTAGCTAAATCCTCAAGGCATTGCGTCCATTTAACGGTAATTAACATTTTATTAAAAAAACAAATCGTTCATCTCTTGATACATAATCCTTTAAATCGAATTTACTTTAAATAATTATTGTGTTTCAGAATCCTGATACACCCAACGCAGAGTTACCTTATGGTAGGGATGAAAAGAATATAATCATTATTGATTAAAAATAATTGATTTAACCATTTAGTTTTTTTCTGTTTTGTACAAATTTATGATTCATTTAGTATTATTGAGAATTAAGAAATAATTTTAATTATTTATTAATACACAGATCGCGTTACAAATTCAGTATCTAATATCAATAATGCAGTATACGTAGGTATGTAATAAAATAACATAATATCATAGGAAAGCATTTAATAATTAATTTTTATCTTTTAGAAACTTCAAACGAATATGAAGGTAATTAAGACAATGATCGTAATATGTTACATCTCAAGCTTCCCAATTACATAAATAAATCTGGGAAGAAAACAATTTTACTTGTAAGAATTAATATCAATTGATTACAGTTGTAGACCTAGTTATAAATCCAATGTCTAACATCAATGATGGAGAGTACGTAGGTATGTAATAAAATAACATAATTTCACAGAAAAGCAGTTAATAATTTATTTTTATATTTTAGAAGCTACAAACGAATATGAAGGTAATTAAGTCAATTATCGTAATATGTTACATTTCAAACTTCCCAAATATATAGTTAAATCTTGGAGCTTAACAATTTTACTTGTAAGAATTAATATCAATTAATTATAGTTGTATTCCCAGTTACAAATTCAGTATCAAACATCAAAGACGGAGAATACGTAGGTATGTAATAAAATAATGCAATTTAATAGAAAAGCAATTCATAATTATTGTTTTATCTTTAAGAAGCTACAAACGAATATGAAGGTAATTAATACAATGATCGTAATATGTTACATTCAAGCATCCCAATTATATAGTTAAATCTTGGAGCTTAACAATTTTACTTGTAAGAATTAATATTAATTAATTATAGTTGTAGTCCCAGTTACAAATGCAGTGTCAAGCATCAATGACGGAGTATTACATACCTTTAATAAAATAATATAATTTCATAGAAAATAAATTAATAATTATTTTTTTTATCTTTTAGAAGCTACAAACGAATATGAAGGTAACCAAGTTTATTACCTAATTGTAATAATTAATTATATTGAATATGACGTTTCAGAGATCAACGATATTGCTGTACAACGTGAATCCTACGGATGTAACTTAATATTTAATATTTGTGCATTTTCAATCTTTTGAATCAATTGAAACTTTCAGATTTGGTCCCTCGCTCAGCTTCATGAAGATACAATGAGGAGAGTGGACACAATTTGCTGCGTTTCATGCAATTTTTAATGTTTAATAGTTTATTTTATTTTTGTTTATTTGTTTATATTAATATTGTAAGAAATATTATGAAAATCAGTAAATATATTTGACTTTATACTAGTTTTTGAAAATGTATATAATTCAAAGTTTTTGAGGCTTATACTTAAAATGTAAAAATAAATTAATTATTTTCATTAAAAACATAAATATTTGCATAAAATGGGAATATTGTTAAACACTAAGTTTCCTAACACAAAAAGAATTTCTTGCGAGATCGATTTGTATACTTAAAAGAATGTGATTCTCACATGTAAAATGAAGTATTGTAAAATTGTAGTAGAGTTTCTTAAAGTTTGAGGATCAAACGTTTAGCAACTGAAGATGTGAACTAGTTAACAAGTAAAGACATATTTAAATTTTTCTTACATGAATTAAAAAAATAACAGAAATTAGTTCTAAGGTATGCTCTAAAATGAACACGAATACAAGAAAGAAGACAAACGGGATTAGACACTTTTCCTTTTTTTATAAAATCTGCATAATATTTGGTCAAAAACATCTAGCGTATTTCTTCAACTAGTTTCAATGAAAATACAAGAGATAGATGGAGATGGGATAGGAAGAGTACTTCCTGACGGCCGCTCGAAGGAATAAGTGAAAAGTAAAAGTAGAAGATAAGTTCTTCAGTTGAACTTTTATAATAACGTTGTCACTTTGTGTCCGATCAGTTTACCAAGAAGGAAACACATTAACGGTATTGTGTACCTCACATTTTATAACCAGATATACTTTTGGATGGAAAATTACTGGATGGTGCAATTATGTATTGCAAATGTATATAAATAAATTATAATTCGATAAAAAAATACTTCTTTTTTGTAATTTTGCAATGGCTTTGTAGGATTTCCGAGAAGGATGTTGGGGTTAGCCAACGCATAATTGCGGAAATTAGTATTTATCATTATGCGTCGATAAAATAAATGGGTTTACTTTATACGCATTCAAAGTAAGTGTGTGTACGTAAATGGATGTATTTAAAGTAAATAGTTGTGATTTTAAAATGTTACTCTTTATTCTTTTCTCGTGGTTTGTTAATTTAAGTGCCGAAAGAACAGAATGTTACATAAATACTGAATGTGATCTGTATTGTTACAATAACGAAAGGATAATAAATAGAAATAATTGCTACAATTTGCAATATGTAACGTTGATAAACACTAACAGTGATGATATACAAAAATTGATTTTTTTTTCGATATCAAATCTCTTTCTGACAGTTCATGATATAAATAATGTAAGTCATGCAATTAAAGGATTAAAAATTAAAAGTTTGAGTATATATCACAGTAATATAACGGAATTGAAAATAGGTATCTTTGAAAGAAGTGAACCTTTCATCGACTTCTTTCTAGTTCATGATCAAATTAAGTTTTTGCAAAAAAAATCGATCCCTGTGGCTATACATGTATCACTAGAAAATAATTTAATTGAAACGTTAAATGCAAGCATGTTTATTGACATATCGTACGTGGAAATATTAAATTTGAACCATAATCGTATAAAGATGATTACGGTTTCATCATTGATAGGTTTAAAAGCATATGTTTTAGAGTTAAGCCATAACCTTATAGAAGATTTAGAAGACAGGTCAATACCGGAAGTAAAAAAAATGTACATTAATAACAATAAACTAATACTGATACATTCTAAAATGTTTGTTAATATATCGAAAACATACAAACTCGATGTGAGCTGCAATAACATCACCAGTTTTAACTTTGAAAACTCCGACTTCATTTTATTAAATATGAGCTACAATCAAATTACGTACTTATCACAAAATTCTTTTTCGGCGATGAACTTGATAAGGAATTTATCACTATCAAACAATGTGATTACATCATTGGAAACAAAATCAATACCGAAAGTGGAATATCTGGATTTGAGTTACAATTTGCTTACATCCATCGAAGCAAACATGTTCACCGATGTGGATCTTCTTAAGTCTCTTGATATAAACAACAATTGCATCAAATATATAGATTTGAAATTGGCGGAAAAGTTGATTTTTTCAAATAGAAAATTGAACGAAAAGTGCACACTGGATGCTAATCGTATCACAGAAACAGATACATTTTTGTTATCGAAAAGTGCAGTTTATACAGTTGGCATAATTATAGTCGTTGTAGTTATTGCTGCTATTCTAATAAAAATATATTCAAGTGAGTGAAAATTGAAAATAATGTTGGAACATATAATTTACGCTAAATGTTTCAGGGTGTCAAGCGCGAACAGCAGTAAGTTCCGAGCAATCCAAGGTAATCAACGTAGAATCAATACATTTTTATATAAAGCATAATTTTGATTTATATACGTGTCTCAAATTAAACTAATTATTAAATTTTAGAAGAACGAGCATCAATTGAAGGAATTAACGAGCGGTGAGTAAATATGGAAAAATAACATTTTAAGAAATTCACAATAAACAAATTGTTTTAGTTTCTAAAAACGGGGCACCAATTTATGATGATATTGTTCCAAAAGGTGACAAAAAAAATGAATCAGCAGAATGTAAGAAAATTTATTTTTGACAATTTATATTTTTACATACAATTTGATTTGCAATTATAGATTTGGAAGAAAACGACATCTATGAATTTGCAAATTAGAAGATTTAATATATTTTGTAATAATTTCATTACTTAAAAGCAATGATGTTTGTGCGAAAAATAACAATTAATATTTATATAATATTTTTTTGCATATTATAATTATTTATTAACTTAGTTTAATTAAATATGAAAAAAAGCTGTATAAATATAATTAAATTATAATTTATATTCTTACAATACTTTTTATATCTATATTTTTTATATTCAAAATTTAGGTTATATTAATTATTAGTGCTTTTCATTAAATCCTGTAAATTGGAATGATGAATTTTCACTAGTTTTAGATATATTTTAGAAAAAGTAAATTAAATAATGTAGAAATAGCAATATTATTAATGTCTTAATTGTGTGTTAATTTAAGAATTAAGTTTTGAATATTTAATAAATTAATATTTTCTGAAATTGATTTGTAAGTTTGAGTGAATGTAAACCGATATTTGTAATAAATAAATAATCTTACCTATTTTATAATAACTGTTGATTAGATGTTATTTTTGTTGTTGGAAGTTTCTTGGTGAAACTTCACGTTCAGCCTAGAACTCTGCTGAAGAAGTACGGATAGAAGGAGCGCCTCTGCGGTCGCGTGAGCTGCCTTTGCCTGTTCGGTTTTGCTGTCGGCTCGGAGTCGAAGGATTCCTGGGCTCTGGTTGTGGTCTGCACGTCGACGGAGGCGGTGGGTTCTTGCGGTTTCATTGTTTTGGGCGCCTTCTTGGTGGTGACCAGAAACGCAGATTTGGTCACGTTCAATTTGCCCGGTTCGTGGATGCGAATTTCGACGGTCTTGTGGACGCTGGGGATGACCATGTTGTCGCCGTAGTTGGGCAGTTCCTTGCGGTTGGTCCTGTTCAACTTGATGTACGAGTTGCCGACAATCGGGAACATCTCGATCTCCTTGGAGAGCGTCTTCTGAGGTGATTGAGATGGGATGGCGTTCAGGGAGCTGCGAGCCTTGTTCGTTGTTTTCGGGATTTTGTGGCTGCTGGTGACGGGAGACTCTTCGGTGGGTTCCTTATGATAGATTACTGTTGTGTAGGTGGCTGGAGGATCGGAAGGGACGGTTGTTTGCTGTCTGATGTCCTCCATCGAGACCGTCCTGTTCTCTTCTGTTCCATTCAGCTCTATTATATCGAAGATCGTGCCGTTCTCTATGATGCTGAACAGCTGTCCCTGGTTGATGGCGCTGGGGTACTCATCCGTTCCCTGCTCGGTGCTCGTCGTCTCAAGCTCTGGCGCCGTCGAGCTCGATAAATCCGTTGGAGACGGGGTTGGATTTGGTGTTGGTGTTGGGATCGTGGTTGGGGTTTGAGGATTTGGTGTTGGAGTCGATGGTGCCGCAGTCAATACCTCGATTCTGGGGCTGATTTTCTCTGTGGCCGAACTGAGGGTCGACGACGGGACCATTGTGTCTTCCTCCGTTTCCCTCCTATGTCTCGTCGGCAATCCGTAATCGCCCGTGTCTATTGTGTTTGATGTCCAGATCCAAGGCTTAGTTGTTCTCGTGTTCGACACATGAGCCCCATTTGTGCTGCCGTACGTTGGATCCTGATTTATCGCGGTCGGCGCCGGAGATTCCGCCCTCTCCTCATCATCATCCATAGCCTCGTCCACAACACCCTCATTACAAGCCAAACGCTTCATAATCTCATCCCGATCCTAAAACAATACGCTTTACTTCATTCACTACCCCAATTCCACGTTAATACACCTCATTTATTACCACCATTCATTTAACATAGAATCAACATTATACAGAAATAAATCCACTTGAGCTTAGAAAAGATTTCTCTCATCTCATCTTATAGCGTAAGTATATAAAATATTACCTCCATCCAACATGTCTTTTTAAAGTTACATGTTTAGATACAATAAATTAATTATCAAATAAAAATACTATGCATTTGATGACTTAAATTGTATTATTTATTGTTAATGAATTAAAAGTAAGTTCGAAATCAGAGATGCTGAAAAATGATAGATTACTAAGTGATATACGTAAGACACTAACAAATTTTATTATTCAATAAGATTATGTAAATAAATGTCTTAAAACATGAAATATCTTTATAAAAATTAAAAGTCTATTGATTTTAATTTATAAAAACTATTCATGTTTACAATATCAAAATTATTTGAAATAAAAAAGTTGCTTAAATATATCAATATGTAATTTGAAAGAATTATTGATTGTATTAAGTTGAGTAGAGATACAGCAATACTTCGCTATAGTACAGTTTGAAAATTTCGAAACAAACACATTTTTAATTGAGTAATATAAACATAAATTTAAAATCCTCGATTTGTCCGGTTTCAAACATATTATCGGAACCGATTATCCAGACTATGCGAGGTATTGTGTACACAAACAGATACTAGAATTAAGTAATAATATCTTACAGTATTTCCTTTGCAAGCGATCCTTTTGGTGCCACCTAAACCGCAGTCGGATGTCAATTCGACGGCGGATTGTTCTGGAATGAACAAGACGGTGAGCGAGGGTAGTTCGGTGAGGAGGCATCCTTTCGGTCCGTTTGCCCATGATGGAACTGTAATCATAACAGTATAATAAATCACCTGAAGAAATATAGACGGACGGAGAGAAAAAAGATAACACGTTAGTAATGAAAAAGCTGGGAAAACTGTGTGTCTCCCCCCCTCCAACTACTTGCCATCCACTCAAGCACTTGCCGCCGTCACGATTTCGCAGACGTAATCCGATTTGCCTCTCCAATTAACCGAGTTTTATGTGAGAAATTTCAGTGTTAAGCTTAATGCGAACACGGGACGAGCGAAACCAGACTGGAATGCTGATTTCGTTATTCTGAATTAATTACGAAATTATGCATGATCTGATTAATCATCGAAATGATTACTCAACCGAAGAAAAAAAAACCTTATATATATATAGCAATTCTCTCAATTAATATCGATTTCTAAGAAACTTGATTATGTAATTGTGTTAAATATTAGTAATTTAATTACATTTTAAGTTAAAAACAGACAAGTTCTATCACTTTTAATAACAATCGTCAATTAAAATTTTAATCAATTAAAAAATGACAGCTGTCATATTATTTCAGAGTGTTATTTTCTTTTAGATACAGACAAACTGATTTTTATGAATTTAGAGGAAAATACTATTTTTTTGTCTTGAACGTTATTAATACTTACTACAACATATAAGATTCTATACTTTTATTACCTACTCACAAATCTAACCTTTGTCTAGTAGAGATTTCAGAATTTTATTTGAGTATTTAACTTAAGTTGATTTAGGTAAATCTTGGCCATTAAAGTTTACTGAAAAGATTTCCTTTAAATAACTTAGTTTCTATATTTTTATATTTCATCAAGATTGGTGTATTATCAGCAAATGTTACTATGTTTCTTAACCTATGGATGTCGACATAAAATTGAATGGCGTCATATTTTTATTGTCTCCTAAAATGACAGCTGTCACCTTGTGTCAAAGCGAGAAACTGGTGAAATACTATTAGGAATTGGATCGCAGTACAACTATAAACAAATGTCTTTGGTTTCGCATGTTTATTTTGTATGTAAATCAGTTTTATTATATTCTATTTTTACCGAAAACTTTACTTTCTGTAGATAAAATTTTATTAATTTGTAACAAGTTCTCCTTTCTTTTGTATAATTGACTGAGACGCTACACTTCATCTATTGAAATAATACAAACAATATCCAATTGGTCCATAGCCATCTCGTTTATATATGAATCAAATAAAACGAAAAACAATGTGACAGACAATTGGGTATCATCGATGCCCGAACGTACTTGAACTTAAAGTAGAAAGGAAAAGAATGATATAAAGAAAAGAAGGAAGGAGGCCCGCGAATGCACGCGTACGACAAAGCAATCCAATTACGTAATGCCTCCGGGCCCTTCAGATAATTGGGATGCCTTCCCCATCCATCGCCGACACCAACAAACATACCAGCACCCACCTCCGCCCATCCATCGATTATCCGTCAACCGAAAGGGTTATAAAATATGATTACGTAACACCGTGCTCATTGTTTATTGATTGCATATTGTGTGCCGTTGCCGTTGCTATTGTCGGTCGGTGCTCGTTTGTTTCGTTATTAATTATTTCATCTTTTTAAAACTTTACTCTTCAAATCTTTGTAGACGATAAATCAATATTTATTACTGGTAAAAAAAATATTTGAATAAAAATAAAATTAAACTAGATATAATGGATGGACAGAACGGATCGGACGACCATGAATTATGGATGCTCATCCACGTAAAAATGATGAATGCGTTGGGGGATTTTGAGGCAAGGTCACCCATGCATACAACAAATGAGCGCGATTTTCGTAAACCGTCCGAATGAACAATATATAACTTATGTATTTCCAACCAATTGAAACACGCCATTCCATGTGTTATTCATATCCGTTATATAACGAACGTATTCTGCTTCAGGTCATGTTTATATGTATAAATACTTCGCATAGTGCGGGTAATAAATGCGGTCCCATAAATATCATGAATTGTTTGAAACCGCACTAGTTGAGAACTGTATAAAAATAGACTTGATTTAGTTTAGTTTAATGGAAAACATTTTTTTTAATTTAGTTTCTTTTGAAATTTTCAAACCGTACTATAGTGAATCCAGATTGATCTAAGCCGCACTGTGGTAAGTATCACAAAAATCTATTTTATTTAATTCTATAATTATACTGAAACATTTACATTTAGTTTAAAAATATTGATAAAATAAAACTATCGACAAAATTATATGTTTATACAAAAGCAATGGTTTCCTATTTTTATATAGTCAAGTCACTTTTTGTGCGGTTTATTTTTTATATGTATTTAGTCTCTCGATTAGTCCGGTTTTTGCTTTACTTTTCTTCAATATAAGTATAGTAAATTTACCCTAGTATACGAAATACCACAAGTCGTACAATATTTGCATCTTTCCTATAAGTAGTGTTAACTTTAATTCTATATTATAATTTTATAATTGATGATTTTGCGGAAAACTTGATCAGATTTTATTGTTTAATATGGCTGGTAGGTATTTGGTAGCGAGTTGGAGCGTGGCCAAGACTTATGCAAATATTAATTAAAACGTCAGCGTGGATATTAATAGTGATTTAATTGACGCAATTAATCTCTGCACGCTAATTAATAGATGTATTCAACAATGTGTCGTTCGTGTTCTCTCTTATATTAAGGGCAATTTTTTCCCAACGTTGTCAACGTTGATTTATGACGCTTTACTTTTCGTACATCGTGTTAAAAAAAAACTATACAAACATGCATACAGACACACATAATTGGTTGTGTAGCGGTTTTGAAGGTGTAATCGTTCTGATGGTTGATAAACGAGTTTGAATAGGCGTGAATCACGTAACGCAACGTTCCGTTCAATTAGCGTGGAGTTTACACAGAAACGGCAGCGCTTCGTCCTTTTTTTCCTGACGCAAAGAAAAGCAAATAGTCGAGAACCGTTTACATTCGAATGGGCTGGGCGCGGGTCGCGGGGTGTGGCAGCAAGAAAAACGAGGGCCGGAGCTGAAGACGAAGGGGCTTATCTCCTCCTTCCTTTTCGGCTCTTTTTCGCTTCAATTTCATTCCGTTAATGCAGTTATTAATCCAGAGGGCTCAGATGCACGAGCACCGAAGGTCCACTCGAGATTACGCAAAAAAAAAAAACGTTAAGTGTTCAGACTAAGGAAAGAAGACAAATACGATGAGGAAAATATGATGAAGGTGGATTAATGGTGGATGCGCCGGGTATTTTATCGTAAAATTAAATTTACGTTTTTAATTTATCTAAGATTGATTAGAATGTAATATATTTTACAATAGTATACTAATTTTGCATAATTTTTGGTATATTTGTATACATTTATATATGTTTTAATGAATCTATGAAATAATTGGTATAAAATTTTAAATTCTCTTTTTTCATGACTTTTCATAATTTTTATATAAAAAAATTATATATTTATTTTCAATTTATTCCAAAAAATTTGGAACAAAATTTTAATTTTTCTCTGTTTTCGAAACCAAATCCAAGTTTAACATTTTATTAAAAAAATATTTAATATGAATTTTAACAAAAAAATATTTATACTAATAAATCAAGCTACTAATTTGTAAACTATAACATTTTTCGTTTTATGCAAGTAACATGAAAGAAGATATATTAAAGAAGTAAAAATATAAAGCAATTTTTGTAAAATGTTAAAACGCAAAATCTTTTTCTATATACTTTTTACTAGACAATAAATACTTATAATTTCTCTTTTATAGTAGTGTTGACTAATTTAGGTTAATCAATATAATCTTATGTTTTTCTCTATCTATGTAGATTTTGTTATTACAAATTAGTGTTTTATATAAATATACAAAAAGTTAACAAATTTTAACTATTTAAAATTATCTTAGTTTCAGTGACTAGTGAAAGGTTAAGATGTAAAATAAATAAAAACTTAATAAAAATTTATTTAAGTCAGGATGTTATTTTAATACTATAAAGTATATAAACTTTGGAAGTTGTAAATAAATTAAGAAATTTTTAAAAGTCGAAAATGTTCAAGAAAAAGGTACAAATTTTGGAAAGTTTTAAATAAATTAATAAATTTCAATAGTCGAAAATGTTCAAGTAAAAGGTATAAGAATTAAATTCAGATAAAGTTTAAAAAAGAACGAATTCAAAGATGTTGATGTAATATTATATTAAAACTATATTAAGTTACATGAAAACTAAGATTCAGTTGTAATATGAATATGTAAGAAGAATAGAAAATTTTGTAAAATAAGAAAAATATATTAAAAAAAAAATTAAAACTTCTCAATATTTATTCGAGAATATGAGAATGATGGAGGTAAATTAATGGCGGGTGAAATTAAAATAATCTATGACAAATTATTATGAGAAATACTGAGAAAGTTACAAAAAAATTAAAAAACTAAAGGTTGTCTATGAAAAGAAGATAAATATAAAATTATAAATAAAACGTGTATTAATGGTGGATGCGCCGAGTATTTATGCCAAGGAAGGCAAGGGAGGAGGAACGGAGAAGGCTTTGTAATAGAGAAATAAAAACGGAGAGTGGGATTTTCATTAACGACTCCCTCATTTTTCTTATCGGATTTTATGCAGCCCTTTAATATTTTAATTAAGTGGAAGCCAAATGGATGAGAAAATGAGAAAATATTTACGAACAGTGAAATTCAATGCTTATGAACGTCTCGAGCTCTTCAACATTATAACACAATGTAATTTATTCTACTCTTTTTATTTATGAAAACGTATAATTACATAATAAGTAGTTTTATTAAAGAAAAGTAGAATAGTTTTGTAGCAGAATTTGTATTTACTTAAAATAATATAATATGTATATGAATGTTTTCTGAATTACATGAAAATTAACAATATTGAGCTTTTTATTTCTATGTTTACTCCAATATTTAACTTTTCTTCTAGATTTTGATCTATTGGAATTCTTTCAAATACTGAAAATATTATTGATTTAATAAAACAAATCTTAAAGCTTTCAACATAATTTGAAATTAACATACTTTGTCTAGAAATATGTTCTAAAATTTAGAAAATATATAAAAATTTAAAAACTTTTGAATTACAAAGTAGTAAATGTTAATCAAAATGTGTGCGTTAAAATCTTACAAACTTTTGAACAAGACAGATAAATAAAACACTCTAAATTCAAGCTTCTAAATGTTCATCAAAATGTATGAGTTTATATATAATATTTCAATCGATAAATGGTGATACAAAATGTCGATATGTGTAGAATGAATGGATGGACAAATTGAAATTGTCGGAAAGTCCACATATGCGATTTTTTTATCCCATCACCCGTGCAGCTAATAATGCATGGTGATTAGTTTGGAGTTCGGGGGGGGCGAAATTGGGGGAGCATCGAAATAATTGGAGTGGATGGTTTATGAAAACGGTCGCAGTTTGAATGCGCGGATGGTGATTAAATTCAGTTGGAAATGATGATTGTGGGACTTGTTTGATGGAAATTGATGGGATCAAGTCGTCGCGGTTTATTCCATTCATAATGTGGGACAGAGTGGCGAGCTGCGATTCCATTCCGATGCATAAACAAATTTCAATGGGATCTGACTAATGGATGTGAATAGGGGACGTATGGGTGTGTACTTTGGTTTACGTCTTGTATAATTCTATTTTTAACGAGTGGTTTTGTTAAGCTCCATCTAGTGTCTAGTTCATGAGAATAATTTCGATTATTGAACGACTCAGTTTCCAAACGTAAATGGTTTCGTTTTTCGAACAAAATTCTAAAGATTCACTCATTAAAATGTGTGTATTCTTATAGTTATATTTATTGTCATTTAGATGTAATTCAGTGTTAAACTGAAAAAATCTATTTATAAGATTTACATTTTGGTTATATTTCGAAAAGTATACACGCCAAATTAATTGTTAAGCAAGTAAATTAAAGCTAAATATTCGCTCTTTAAAATATTTTTACTGGCATTTTTGTATCAATTGTCATTTAGAAGAAATTCACTATCAAATTTAAAGAAAAAAAAAATTAAGCTTCAAGAAAACAGTGGTCTTACATTTTTACTTATATCTTGAGAAGTATAAACGACAAATTAATTATTGACTAACCCAATTAAAGCTAAATATTCACTCTTTAAAATGTGTCTACTGTTATTGTTATTTAGACGAAATTCACAATGTTACTTGAAGAAACGTTTTTAAAGCTTTGAAAACGCAGTGTTCTTACATTTTTACTTATATCTCGAGAAGTATACACGACAAATTAATTATTAAAGCTAAATATTACTTTAGTATAACTACTTTGAAATGAGATGTTTTGCCTTTCTTCTTTCTTCTTTTGATTTTTAATATGTATAATATCTTATAATTTAATTGAATAAAGAAAATATTTATTTCTCTTTGCCAAGCAAATATAAATTATATTTGTCCAATTGAATTTTCAATAGGTTTAGTTTTTTTATTCTTCAATTAGATATGTTTGCTTTATTTATATTTCTTTGTGAGAGATGTGCACTTTCTTTATATAATTTATTGCTTGGAGAATGAATAATGTTTAATTCTCGTGATTCGTATGAGAATCGAATATAAGTGTGAACAATTATGGGCATTTGTCTGTTGACGTATAATGCTTTCCCTGAGTTAGGGTTAGGTTTAGGGTTGTAAATTGCATAATCGTTTGGGAAAATTACCTGGCAGTTCGCAGATGAAGGAGGCGATGGCCGGTCCTCCGCACGGCAACGCATGCCACCGGAAGTCGGCGGCTGGATCCATGGTGGCGCACAGTGCCTCGTTTCCGGTGGGAATCGCTTCCTGCCAGTAGTCGGTGAGGCTCAGCGCCCGGAAGTCCCTGGAGATTAAACGCTTATGTAACACAACACAACTCCGCTCCACTCTATATCTCACCGAGGGAGATCAATCTTACGCCTTGGTGACTACGAACGTCATCCCCCCCCCCCAAAGAAAATCTTCAAGTCCCAACCACCCAAATTGGGGAGAAAGGTCGGGCGGGGTGGAAAGGGGAGCACAGGAAGGAAGGGCCGAAATGGAAGGAACGTTGGAGACACGCGATGAAAACACGAAATTCGTAGAAGCTGCAGCAGTAGGAGCGAGCAGAAACACGGATTTCGCTCAACCGCTGCACCCGAACAAACGAAACGAAAATATTTGAAAACTTATTTTGGGTCGCTTAGCAAACATCGAAAGGGACGAGTGGAAAGGCCGAAATCCGCTCATCCCTTGCAGGAAAACAACTTCAAAGTACGTACGTACGTTCCTCGGAGCGAACGGAATCCAATAAATCTCCTTTCGAACGTCCCGAATAAACACAAACACCATTCGCATTTCAGTACAAAACTACCAACCAAACAACGAAAATAATAATAAAAAGAATATATTTCAATTGAAAATACATCGTTACTCGCGTGGCGTATGAGAAACTCCGTTAAATATAAAAATTAATTACTATTTATATAATATATAAAGTAAAATTTTACGAAACGACTACTCGCAAGGCGTCTGATGGACTCTCCTAAGAATATTTTGCTATTAATCCTTCAACTCTAACACAGAGTAATATGCTTTTACAAATCGTCAGTCAGTATGAAGAAATTATATAGCTCGGGATTGACCAACCTTTTTAGTTTTAAAGATTATAGTTGGTTAGTATTGGCGTCTCAAAGTCTATATCTGCACTATGCGTGATTCAGTACATTTGTTTTTCAGACATACAAATTTTTATATCTATATTCCAATTAACGCTCATTAAATATCCTTTTTGAAACAACACCTTTCATTTAAAGTACTGATCAAACATAGAAGATATAACATGAAATATTATTGAGAGAGAGAGTGAGCAAAAAAAACAGAGGATACTTTTGAAGTATTTGCCAGGTTTCAACATTTTATATTCTGATTCATTGCTGCACTCTTTTGTTCGTTGGAATATAATGGATCGACTATACATGGCTTTATCGAACAGTCCTGATGATACGTATCTTTTTAATAGCCACCAATTAGTTAACCAAACTGTCACACACTTTTCATGTCCTAATAAATTCGAATCATTTCAGTAATTACTAAATATTGATTATCATGTATATCAACATTGTTTGCATTTATACCCTTAAGTAATTTATTATCGAAAATTTGAACGTTTTTATATATACACATTTCTGATAGTCGAAAATATTTCTAATTATTCATAAAACTCAATATTAATATACATTTTAATTGATATTTTATAAATATTTATTTGTTATTTGAAATCATTATAACTCAGAAACTATATAGTTCAATTCTATATACGTGACTTAAGAAATAAATATTTGTCAGGTGTACCACCTACTATTTACTGTCATCGAAGTTAATCTGTCAAGTAGTAGAAGTTGGTGGAATCCCAACGCCTCCAAAAACTAGACCACCATAAGACAATTCAAAGAGGGACTAATAGGAAATAAACGAATTAACAGAAAGACGAATCAGAAAGAGGAGACCCACAACTTGGGTGGTTTAGATTAGCTGTTCTCAACAGATGTCGCGTTAAATTTTTAATTGGGTCGTGAAATGACAGCTGTCATCTTATGTCAAAGCGAGGAACCAGTGAAATACTCTTAGCAATTAAATCGTAATACTATTACAAACAAGTATGATGGGTTAGTTAATAAGTTAACCTATGTTAGTTTAGAATACATACTTTATATATTACGTAAATTATTCAATATATTGATATAACTACACTAAGTTGGTATACCTGATATAGCTTCATGTGTCATTTTTTATATTATATAAAAACATTATAATTGTTGAGGAACAAATAAATGAATTAAATATTAAACAAAAATAAAATTTGACTGTCTTTTCGTTCAAATAATAAAAAAAAATATTTATAGTACTTAGGGATTATGTTCAATGCTATAAATATTATCAATGTACATATGAGTTTACATGCAGTAAAAAAAAGGTAGATTTAATAACTGCCTCAATGGGAAAGCTCTAAATAAAATACAATAAAAGTAATGTGTGTACGTTAAAGCGTTTTACATTTGGAAGTGGAAATAACTTTGGAAGCGTAATTTATCACCAGTTTTGTTTTCGTTTATTCCTTCTCCGACGCTTTATTTTGTTTCCATTTTTTTTTGTTCGTTCAGTTAGTTTGATAGCCTGAATGTTCTGCTCTGGATGTTCTCGTTCTTGTTTTTGTTTTATTTTTGTTTGTTTTTTTTACAGTTGGCAAAGGATCATTGCTCATTCGTTTGTCAGTTACACCAACCAACGTCAGCGTAAAATTTATCGTTTCGACTGCCATCTTCGTTAGAATTAAATACAGCTCGCGTCGCACAAAACAACCGCACTTATAAAATGTTAAATGTCGACTGCTGCTAGTCGACCGAGCGCAAAAGAAATTAAGTGCAGCGTGTTTATCGTTTGCGGTTTATTAGATTACATTCTTATGTAATCGCGTATTTTTAGGATACGCGGGAAGTTTAATACGTTTTGTTTAGTTGGGAATTTGCAATGGGGTTACCAAGGGAACGTTGAATTAATTTGTTTGTGGACATTGTCGTCTCACGTTCAGACAATAGAATAATGAAATCCACAGTCTACATTGTATTATAAATTGTGATGTTGTTATGACGATAGTTGCTAAAGTTACAACTGCTCTTGTTAACTATTAACCGGAAACTCGTTATAATTTACTCGATTACATGAAAAAAAAAGTTTTTTGAATAATATTTATTATGAAAAATGAAACATAAAAACACAACAATAATATTTGTAAAGATTACTCTGGAGTGTAGTCACCATCTACTTTAATAACTTCTTCGCATTTGCAAAAAAATATTTTTATTAAAAAAAGTAAACTAAAGAGCAATTTTTATTAACAAAATAAAAGCGTCTACAAAAAGGCCTGATAATTATGCACCAATCCAATATTACTACTTTATGTTTTATTTATTTTTTATATAAAAACTGAAGTACTTTCAGTATTAGGTAAGATTATAGGTTGCAAATTTGTAAATAGATTTATGAATATCAAAATGGAGACAAATATAAATGAAAAAGTAGTTGCATTTATCAAATTTGTACTGTATTTCAAAATCTTTGTACTGTAATCTTTGTAAGACAAAATTATTGAACTTACATGTATAATATTTATTTTGTAATTGTCCTCTAAACGTTACAACAAATCTATTGACTAATTAAAATTAAAGAATGATCATTTAGATATAAATCAATTAATACTATGTAAACTAACCAATAATAGTATATCAACATATATTTTATTTGGTCTAAGATCCGAACTCACCATCTTTGTATCAGATTAAGTAAATACTAACTAATGTTCTACTTATGACATGTTAGCCAACAATATGAATGTTGGTATACCTGAGTAATTAATATTAACCTCTTGTTAAATCTAATGGATTTGATGTAATTGTTTACATATTGCTAATTTCCATACTACAATGTTATATAAATTATGCAGAAATTAATACATTGTTTACATGAGTCCTTTAAAATGCGTAGAAGGAGTCAAGTACCTGGGAATTCACGTAGATTTTCGCTTGATTTGGAAGAATCTCTTAGAATTGTAATTTATCCGAAACTCTGAGATATCCATACAGACTAAGGTACTAATATACAAAATCAACCTAAAACAAATATGGACAGCTTTCGGAGTCTGTCTGAAATTCGACAATAGAAATAATCGAAGATATTGGGATTGATTATAAATACATGATGGTATTCCACAAACTAGGAAATCCATTTGTTTACCGACATAGCTAGTAAAAGTAGAGATCAGAAAAGCCAGCACAAACTACCATCTACGACTTGATGTTCACCCAAACCACATAGCAGCACGATTTACTAACAAAACTAGTCATTAACGATTTAAGCCACAAGGTTTGCCAACCCGGTTCTAACAACTGAGTAAACTGTGCGTGTTTGTGTATGGGATAAGTGAAAATTGCTCGAAGTGAAGGATGGTTGCTGGACTAATCCTTTAGTTATTTCATAAAAATTGTTGAATTTGAAAAAAAAAAACATGAGTAATTTACATATGAATTCATACTATATTACTTTCCTTACAACAAAATAATATAAATTATAGAATAGATTCTTCGCTTGCAATTTGTATAATTATATTCTTATGTACTAATCTATTTCTAGGATGTTCATTTTCATTTGTTAAGTTGGAATAAACAATGACGTTAATATAAATTGTATACGAAAAGACTGCACCCATTTGATTTTTCTTAATTTTATCAATTTTAATAATAGTAGGTTAAATTATTTGTTTTCATTTAATTTTCCATATTTGAACGTGTCTAAAAGTTGAATATCGTCGATGTAAAAAAAAATAGTTGGTACACCTGTGTATATACATATCAAGCATATTACTTTTATCCGATGTATTCCCATGCGGATCAATTTTTTATAATTAATAAATACAATTGTATAAATGTAACGTATAATAATAACTCTGCAGTTGTTTGTAAATAACCAGTATTTTTGCAGTTGAACAACCCGTCGTGTCAGCAATTATCATTAGGGCGAAGGTTTTTAGTGCGAATGCAAATTTCCGCCGTAATAATGATATTTCGGTGGACGCGCTTGATGTTGCGTTTTGCGGACGACGGGGGATGCATTAAAAAGGAGTTAGTGAGTATAAAAGGGGGGGGGGGGCGGAGGAAAGCTTTCCTCACGTGTATGAATGTGTGTGTATGCTTTGTGTGCATATATGCGCAATATTGGAGTGTTTCTCGTGTGCCCTCGAGAGTCCGCCAGATGCACGTAGGTCAAGTGTTCATTAATTAGAGCCCGTTGCATAGTTTTCAGCTTGTA